CCGTGTTGGTGACACTCCAGTCAGTCCCACTCGACGACCTGGCAGCCTCAGCAGATAAAATACTGGAGATATCCAGCAGACCCGTCTCCAACGTATATTCTATCTGCGACAAAACAGAGCGCCAGGATTCAGAGGTGACCAAGTTGTGCAACTCTGTGAACGGTTGCTACGATCTCGAAGTCCTAGATCACGTAGCACTTCACGGAAACGCACCTTGGCGCATCGCAGCAAGTCGCGTGGTAGCCCTAAAACGAAACCCAACAGGGTGGAAAACCCTGAATGGTGCTGGTTTCATAACACTTACGGGGATGAAGCCAGAAAATGTCGTAAACCATGCCGTTTTAAGAAGGACCCAAACTCGGGAAACGGTCACGCCGGCACGTGCTCACGGCAACCGTAGCCGGCGGAAAAAGCCGTTTGCTCTACGTCACCGACTTAAAACGAAAGTCCGCTACCTCGTCGACACCGGCGCAGAAGTTAGCGTTCTTCCAGCAACGACAAAGGAGCGTCATCTTGACCCATCCTTCAATCTTCAAGCAGCCAACGGCAAGGCAATCGCGACATTCGGGAGACGGTATGCCTACCTCAACTTAGGTTTACGCAAACCTATCCACTGGATTTTCCTCCTGGCAGACGTCTCTATGCCCATCATTGGCATAGATTTGCTAAACCATTACGATCTACTCGTAGATGCTCGCCGTCGACGACTGATAGATAACAGCACAAAGTTATCTTTGGCGGCACCACCTATGTAGGTCCGAGTTTAGCCATCGTTAGGACTAAACAATCAGACGACGCGTCCTACCAGGCAGTTCTGGAGAAATATCCAGAGTTACAACAACCAGCGGCGCAACAAAAAACACGATCAGGTCGAACCGTCAGGTTCCCAGAGTATCTGAAGTCTTATTCAACTTAGCTGTGTGTGTGCCAACCATTTTTTTTCTTTTTTTCGAGGCACTATTTTTCTTATTTACCGGCAGTGCACAAACCCTGGTACACTTTGCCTTTTTATATCGATTTTTATTACCATGTAATAAAAACTAAAAAAAACCGGCGAAGATAAGTGTAAATTTTTTATTTTTCGATATGTTTATATATAAATAATTCCCATTTTTACGCATCCTTTTTCGTGGTATTAAAGACTTTTATTTATATTCTAGGTGCAACGAGCACTGGACGGAACGTCGAAAGGAACAGATGACCGCGACCGACGTACAATTTCATTTATTGTATTTTATTTATTTAATCGCCACGACACCCTAGAATAAGGTTCAGACAACCGGGGGCCACCTCACGCAGTGAGCCCATCGGAAGAGTTTTACCAGTGGAGAAACCACTGGGTTTTTACTTCCGGCTGGTATCGTCTTAGGGTCCTCACGAACCCACTAGGGGGGAGTGATCTGTAGCGTCATACACTTCCCCAAAATCAATAGCCTAGGGTTTGACGACTTCGACATTGATGCTGACCTTGATAGTTTAACTGGACTCGCTAAGCTGAAGGCACCCGGTCAAGCATCCTCGCCATTTGGCACGCTGTCGTGTTACGTTGCATTGCTCGTATTCGACTCTCTAGCCAGTTAGTTGGAACGCATCGGTATTTTGGCATAACCATCCAAATATACTATTCCATCCGACTACGCTATCGTGTTCTTCCTTGGTCTCGTATTCGTGGGTATATAACAAGTTCGAATAATTAGTGATTGGTCTTTGCGTCTGTCAAGTTCGCACCAGGACAAATCCTAAAATATGTACATATTAGTACATGCAACACTGGTGATAACCTAACATCTTACCTCTACCTTCCAAATGCATTTCCACTGAACGAACGGTAAGTTAGACTTTAACACCCAAAAAATGTTACGGAATGTGCCTCATTCATTATGAGTTAACATCACTAATAGATAACTTACCTAGACGCAGCGATGATGCTGCAAACAATTACAACAAGTCAGCTTACAGACAGCAGGCTGGTACTGACATGCCCATTGTAACGCAGTCAGACAGCTCGACATGCTGCATAGCAAATCTAGCGACTAAGTGAAGAAAACCATACCAGCCGAAGACGTTAAGTGAAATTACTCCAAAATAATCTCATCTCATGGAAAATTTGAACGAAATACTGACCGGCAATGCCAGCTACATAACATTGGGTTTAAGTGACAACGTGCTGTTTACCGACTAGTGATCACGTTCTGGCTGAAAACGTCCAGGTCCATACTCCTCTTGTAAACAGCAATCATGCCTTGGTGGTGTTCGATCTATTAACCAGTGAACAATTATCGTGGGAGGGACCTCGCCCTCAACCCCGTCACAATGGGACAAACTATGAAGGAATGAACCAACGCCTATCGAAGTGTCCATGGCCATCGCATTGGTGCTACAACACTGAGAAATTGCAAGAGACACTATTAAGGCGGCAACCTTTCAAAACGTCTCCGCGGTGGTAACAACATCCAGAAATCGGACCTCATGGCTAAAAGTAGGCACTGAGCGCTTCCTAAAAGCCAGGGGAAAGGCATGGCACAAACGGAGACTCTCCAGAGAAGAGGACGATCACAACGCATTTGTAGCTTCACGAAATCGAGGCAACACCAGGTTTCGGGGAGGTAGGAGGTCGTTACAGCACAACCTCGCCAAGGAGCTTGAGGTAGACCCCAGAAACCTGTAACGATCCATGGCAAAGAGAAAATCGACATGCCAAGTGGCATGGGTCATAAAAGGTCCGAACGGAGAAAACCTCCCTGGGCAGGAGATCACCGAAAGTTTAAGACCTGCATTTGAAACAGAGCTCAATGCTCCGTCGGGAAGGCACGCATACCTACGGCCAAAACAGAACCCAAAATTATCCGACTCTGCAGACTTACAGATAACTCAAGCCGTGGTTCTCGACAACCCATCGAAGCCAAGCACGGGAAAACCCTCAAAGTGTGATGGCATTTGCTCAGTTGTTCCGAAAGAATGTGCAAGTACCCTAAGTAACCCACTGTGCAGTCTCCTCCAACACTCCCTGGACGAATCAAAACTCCCACGAGAACGGAAACGAGCCATCTTCTCCTCCTCTCCAAAGGAGGAGATAGGCGGAATCCGAACTGTTATAGACCCATGGTACTTCTACCAGTAGTATCGAGAGTTATGGAAGATGTAATAGACGACAGCATCAGGAAAATCTGGATGCGAAGCAAGCGCTCTGTGGCGCTCAACATGGCTTCTGAAACGGTAGGTCCTCTGCCTCTAACCTCCTGACGGTCTATGATCGCTGGGCAACATGCTGGGATCTCAGAGCCCCGCTCCAAGCAATTTTTCTGGATTTTGCCAAGGCCTTTGAAACCGTCTCACACACCATCCTAACACGCAAGATAGATGGGTCAGGCATCCTTGGCCAGGTGCTATCGTGGCTGCAGAACTACTTAGGCGATATAGAGTTCTGCACGAAAGTCGACGGGGTCAACCCAACCTCATCGTCGGGTGTCTCATAAGCAGCATTCCTGGGTCCATTGTTGTTCCCGCTGTTCGTGGGTGACCTCCCTCTACATATCAGCTCTCCGATCCTTCTCTACTCTGATGACGTCAAGTTATGGATGGCGGTAACTTGTGAAGCGGAATCCAGTGCATTACAGGACGACCTCAAAACACTAGAGGAATGGGTAACAAATAACGGAAAGGCATTTAACCTGCATATATGCCGCTTCGTGTTGTTCCTCACTCCTGACCCACGGTGGTTTCCTACTCTCTCTGTGCTTCATGCCTATCCCATACCGCAGCAGAAAAAGATGTGGGTTTAACGGTAGCGGAGGAACGGAACACCGGTTTCAATTAACCGGGTGACACCTCAATAGCATACGGTGTACTACGCTTTGTGAGCAGACAACCTGGTGCCCTCACTCCAGAGCACTTCCTGAAGCTCTACAAGACTTGCGTGCGACTTCACTCGGAGGTCTATACCGTCTTCATTCCACTACAACTGAAAAGAGGCATGAACCGAATGGAGAAAGTTCAGAGGTGAGCCACAAAAGGGGTTATTGGGATACAACGAGAACCTTATGAGGACAGACTGAAAGACCTAGGCCTATACTCTCTTAGCTACCGAAGGCTACAATGTGACTTGGTAATGGCTTGGAAAACACTGAATAACCCAAATCACACGAAAAGAGGATAACTACCGAGAGGCCACTATGGTGACCCTTTTGGAAACCCTTAGAGATTTGCCCACCAAAGGTCAAAAGCTCATGTGCGTTCACACTTTTCTCCCTCCGAGTCTGTGGTCACTGGAATGCATTACCAGCAGAGGTAGTCTCCACCCCATCTGTTGAAAGCTTCAAGAAAAGGCTGGACAGCCAGACAGAGACCCTCGGATTACCCACATATAACTGGAATACTAACTAAATGGAAGAAATTAACTGGTGTCACGCTATTCCAACTATTTTACCTCTGCCTCAGTTTTCTTTCCACCGTAACTATTTAAGCCCTTTTCATCCCTTCCACTTACCGTGAATTAGCCTCACCTACCAAAGCTCTTCATATATTTGCAGCCCTTTGCCTTACTTGGGTGTAAGTCGACTACTCAGTTAGTTCACTTTTCTTCTCCCTTTAATCACGCAACTTTGCCCTTCTAGGTTTTCTCTTCACTATCCCTAACTCCCTAACGACCAGCCCTAACAGCTGTCTGGCATCTCAACATCTGAAGAAGCCACTGGAAAACAGTCCCAGGAGAACTAAGCAACACTAAACCTCCTGTTCTGTATACCAGAGGTATAGCAGATGGGTGACTGAATATACTGCACTGAAGTCTGCCAAAGACCTGGAAACGTTCCGCAAGACCAGGAAGCGAGCAAGAAGAAATCAACTGGTTTACGCAAGCTCGTTAAACAGATATTGGATGTTGGATCAAAGTAATATGTTCACCTATCAAACTTTTAGGTGACTTTGATGTCTGCTAGAATATTATAAGTTCCCCGAAATAATTCAGTACAAACGAGTTTAAGTACTATACTAGCTTACTTTGAAGACCTCGAGGAAGTGCCTACAGTTCAAACGCCATGAGAAGGTCATGTCGCTCAGAAGACGTGAAGTGCATATTCACCGGAAAGGCTAATGGCCAACTCAGTAATCAGAGTCTGAAAAGACAGTCAGAACCTCGTCGAATGGCCGATAACTGGGAAGATGTAAAAACCAGATCAAAAGATTTCTATGACGATGGAACATCAACGTTCTTCTGGTAATTTGTCTACTTTTGTGACAGCTTGTCACAGGAACGCTCACACTGTGTTATGCCTTATAATATTTGCATGCATCCTTTTGTATGTTGCTATTGCGGAGAATGGCAACTACTCCTCTGAATATAATATGAAACGGTAAGTTGACTTACAATGGTACTTAGTACTGCTAAAGTGGTATTAGCGCTGTGATCATGGTGTTTCTTCTGTTTGGAGTTGTGCACACACCAGATGGTCCATTTCTTCGGCCACATCCTGGTGAGTTGGACGTTGAAATAGGTCTTAATTTCAAGTTGTTTGCTTCAGCTTAATACATATATTCACATCCACGTTTCTCAACTAGCTATTCTTTTGGTATTTCACGTTGTCTTTGAAATAAAGTACTCTGTTCTGGTTTTGTTTGAATTGGCAGTTCTGCAATATGTTTATTATCTATTATCTGAAGTCGATCGGTGTAATCCAAGTCACTAGAATCTTTCGTCGTTACATCTCTTACTTTTGAGAGTAAGTTTAACACCGAACACCTAGTTCCACGCCAGATTAATCGGTTTCTAATCGTTGGTAGCTATGAGAGACATAGGTTTGCGCCTTTTGCCAGGCTTCCCAACGTATCGCGTTTTAGTTTTGGGAATAGACGTATGCAATTTTGCCGATCTAAGGTGACTTCAAAATAACCTTATACATATGGGTGGAAAAACGGCTGTTACTTTTTGACTTTTAATACAAAAATGAAAGGAAATTATAGTAGATTTGGTCTTTAAACAGTGTTTAGGGACTTATCTAGGTTGTTTACTGCTTCTGACTGCTAAAAGTAGAAGTACGTACGATGAAGGAATTTATCCATATAGCTCCATGACACAACCACTTGTGATATTCGCACCAATAAGCCTTCAAGTGGCTTAGGCTTAATTATACGTATGAACCCGTGTATAAGGACTTCGGAAATAAATTTTGAGAGTGAGAAATAGACATCCGGTTCATAAGCTTGGAGATTCGGTAAAAACCTATAGATTTCAAAGTGTAAAGCTTAAAAATGAAGTCACAAAGTAGCAAACAAGCAGTGACTTGATTCTCTTTTCAGTACCGACGAAGAAGGAAAGACCTACCCTGTTTTTTCTGTTTTGGACTTTTTAGGTTTCGCGAACATACTTGGAGACAAGTGTTTTGATTTGAGTTGAAATAAAGGCTATAACTAGGTTTTGAACTGTTCGATCTTATACCAAAACATTCCGGTGTGTACTTCTTGTTTTTTATAATTTTCTCCCTCATGAGGAATTCAGGCTCGCGAGAAGTTGCGAATTAGGAAATATCGTGAGTTTGTGACGAGAAATAACCATCTTAGATTTTATCGGAATTGTCATCATCATCATCATCAAGATTCTTCTCAAGACTATCTACAAGTAGCGACATCCTTGGATAAATTCAACGTTTTGCAAAACCGCGAACAACCACACATCCACTTTCAACGTGACTTGTCACCTCATGGATATTCTGCTATCATTTTCAGAATGCCGAATTTTCTTTTCCAACGGTTTTAGTTCTTTCGATTGTGAAATTCAACCGGCCGTCCATGCGTTATGTCGTTTTCCTATATATTTATTTACTATTTTGATGCCGATGCAAATTAAGCGGTTAAATTTGCCTTGTTTTTCATTCCCCTTTTTTCTTTACTGTTATTTTTAATTTTTGTGAACAATAACTGCTCGGAATTAATCCAAATCAAGTGATATAACAATAGCAGGAAGGTCGACTTGTATTTCTTCCGACGGTCGATTTTTTTAGCAGACTTGTTATCATCAATTACTTTGTTGGTGAATACACTATTCTTTTACTTGGTTGGACAATGAAAGATGTTTATTATTTGTATGCAGTATTGTATTTAGGTACCATGACTGTTTATTGCAGGCCTTTCTAGTCTCTGCATGTTTACCTGATAGTTGAGGTTCACTTGAACGATTGGAAAGCATTTATGGTAATTGTCTATAGAATAAGGTGGACATACGGTAAAAAGTGATTGCTAATGGTAAAAGCACATTGATTCTTATTGCGTCTGCTCAACCTGCGCTCAGTGTGTTGATGTAGAAGTGTGACACTTGGATTCAACATTCAGGCATAGCAGACTCTATGGTGTTATTTTGGGTTCTTCTGATATCTTAATACTACCTAATACAAAAGTGCAAAGAGAGGCTTAGCAGGTCTATTAAGGTATAAGTTGAAAGGACACAAAGAGAAGTCTAATCAATACGCTCGACTTTTATGGGAATAAGAATCAGATATACTGTTGTTTCACTTTAATTAATATAGTAAGCATTATCCAACTACCAGTTTCTGATACTTCTCGAGCCATAATCAAGTAGCGTATATTTCACACAGGTACTCATTGAGTTCAGGAATCGGTGCTAGATAATGGACTTCACACTCTTAGCTGTTTCTGAAAGCTGATCATATAAGTGGTAACATTTCGATTGGGTGTGGATGATTATTGGACGTGACTGTTCGTATAAACGTCAAATAACTACATTAATTTCGAACCGTAGTTCAGAATTCCAACTAGTTCAACCATGAAATCTTGTCATTGATCATAAAGTCATATGGTTTCTCGCTTGTTAACTATGCCAAAGTCGGCCCATAGTTTCGTCAGTGAGAGAAAAAAAGCATCAGAAAATGTTAGGTAGACTCAGAGTATTTTTGAGAAGCTGGTCGTATATTTCAGGAAATTTGGAGTGGATTTCTCATCACGCAAGTGCAGAATGATTTTTAAGGAACGCCTGGCACAGCAGACTTGACTAGAGAGCTCCAACATATAACTAAGAGTGCGATATTTTTAGACCATAAATGCTGTCCCTGGAACGCAGACTTACATAAAGAGGTAGAAGAAATCAAGGATGATGCATGGATATTAAACGAGATGGGCTAGTAATGATTAAACTGCAACGGACACATGCTATAAATGGCATTCGACTCTTAAGTAGAAAGTGGGAATACTTTTCTCACTTCTGAAGGAAAACTTCTTGAAACGAATGTGAGTTCAATTACGTTTGTTAGACGTCTGCGTTTTGGATCTTTCGGAAATAAACTGTTTTTGGAACCCGGAAATGGCGAGATCATTTCACTTTTGATTTTCAAATGGCTGAAACTTGATAATCCTTTCGTTTTTAATGAACATTTCGTTATTGTTTCAAATAGCTGTCCGTTGAGGCTTGCCAATTTCCTTCTGATCCCTTCACTACATCACCTAGCCTGTCGAACCACTCAATTGATCGCTCGCTATGGGGATTTTCGAAGCCTTTAGATATTATACTCTATGTACAGTAGTTTGATTTATCCTGTTTTTAATGAAGTGTATCGACTGGTATTGTTTTCCGTCTCATCTTTGCTATTCTACCGGCTTCTTGATATCCGGTGTTTTAGAACATTTGCGTTGCCCCATATGATTACAAAATGGTGTTTGAGTATGCATGTGTAGTGTCATGCACCAGAAATATCTAAATGAACTGTTTGGGGGCTGTTTTTATACTATCCGTATGTGTGCATTCATGCGGACACAGTGATATTCTGATTATCTCATTGAATTCTGCCACTGGTATAATAATTTGATTTTTTGGAGCGTCAGCCTTATTTTGTTTGATGGCATATTCTTTGCATTCATTTAAATATCTCGAGTTTATAACTATCCAAGATTCATATCTCAATGAACCTTCCTGACGTTTTATTTTTCATCTACTAGTTATATGACGCAACTTGACTTAAATTTGGCTATGAATACCGTGCAATAGTTATTTGTGACAGCCCAAAGCTAAAACGTAAATTGTCTGAACCATGTAATGTATTTGCGAAACACATTTTGAACCGTCCGATCACGCAGGTACTCGTCATAGGTATTCATATGAAAGTTGTTGGAGATACGTTGTTAGAAAATGAAAAAATGCCAAGCAGGAAGACTGAATTAAAGGCCAAATAACAATGAAAATCAATAGAGCCAAAACTATAGCACGCCCGACTTGGTTTTCATAGTTGAATTTACCGAAGAAAATTCAATCTGACAACAAATTGTTTGTGGACACACAAAGGTGGCTCGAGCTTCCTAATAACTAAGGCCTCGACAAATCTAAGAATCTGTCCCTGACCCGTTCTCTAAATAGGTGCAAAGATTTGGCTATTCACGCACAGTTTGCAAACCTGTATGACCAGTTTATACCTCTCGTTCCAATTCCGATGCATGAAACAGCTCTCAGGCTCCTATCAATTTGATGTAGCTGTTCTAAAGGTGCTTTCAACTACCGTTAAGTGTGTGGGACGAAAACGCTTCTACAGTCTTCTATTGCGAAACCCCAATTACCATTTGAGTAGTGGACCCCGTAGTTCCTTACCACAGTCCACCGCAAAATCTTTGTCTGTCATCTTTGCTTCGATCTGACTTCCTAAGTGAGTTTCGAAGAACGACACTACTTGAATTCTGGTCTAACGAAATCCGTCATTCGACTACCACAAACCATTACTGGGCATCTGTTTTTCGCTATGTGCCTAGCGAATGTTGTCAATGGCTTGTCAACTGAAAATACAAACGTAGCTTCTATACAGACGATATTAGCCCCCAAATATCAAAATTCCAACTACTGGTTTCCCTTGTTCCATGAACCCCCAGTGACTAGTTTTCATCGACCTGCATGGCTTAGACTAACAGTCAAGGACTTCATGCATTGATGCCATGTTTCACTCTTGCCACCCTAAGCCTTCTTCCAGTCTGATCGTACTTCGAGCAAAATTGTTTTACAAGGCAGACTGGTTAGGGATACTTAACACATGTTCCAGTCATCTCAGTCAGTAAACCTTTACAACTGCACCAACTATCTAACCTCTTCTGGCTAAAACTCTGCTTGTGACTTCTGCGTTACTCACGTAGTGACAGTACGAAAGACGGCCTTGGCTACGAAAGGCTGTGGTGGTCAAACACTTGTAGCCTTCTCATGTCCTCTACCCTTAATCACCATGTTTCGCAGTGATGCAACAGAACGGAGCAGACTACTGCACAGTACACTCGACCCTTAATAGACAGTCGGATATCTATGCGGTGCCACAGATGGTGTAAGTTGGCGAAAGCCAATCGAACCCTTTGCATGCATGCGGAGATTTCCTCGGCCACTGACCAACACACCACGACTGACCCGACTTCCCAGATAAATGAAGTGTTCAACGAGCTGAACCACTTGACTGTTTATTGTTGGTCGGGGTACCGTTGAAGACCATTCTTGGAGCAACAGTTTGCACTTGGGTGGGGGAGAAACTCATCCCAAACATTGTCAAATTGCAGTTCAAGGTGTCCAGACGACGCTGCATGTTGTCAGCATCTCGACTTAACAGGACTATGTGATCTGCGTATTCCAAGTCTACGAAGGCATCTCTTGTGATTATATCTGTCCGTAGGATGTCGGATGACGAGAGGGAGACCTCCATAAGAAGACCTATGATGAGGTTGAATTGGAAGTGAGAGAGTGGGGATCCTTGACGGACACCACTCGATGTGCACAAGTCACCCGATATCTCACCATAGGCTGTAACATGCCCACAGGTGTTTGAGTAAAGAGCGTTGAATAGTGTGATTTACTTACTCGGTCCCCCTTTCAATGAGAGACACTGCCATAAGACTTCTTGATCGATGGAGTTGAGTTCCGCCTTCATGTAAAGAAAAACAGCTATTGTTGGTCGTTGGTAAGCGTACTTGTGTTGCAGAACCTGACGGAGTGTGAATATTTGGTGGAGACATGTGCGACCAGATGTGAAGCCTGTCTGGTTTTCTCAGGTTTGATGTTCCCGATCTCCACTCAGGGGTCTAATGATTATGGACCCTAGAATCTTAGGAACTATGTTTGTCAGGCTGATTCGTCTGTGTTTATGAGGAGGGAGAGGACTTCTCTCGTTTCTTGAAGATTGGTGTAATTGGTGATTGAGACCAGTAAGAGGGGATCATATTTGACTCGTATGGACTAGTTAGTACTTCAGTTGACTTGATTAAAATCACTCTACCACTGTCGTTATATATTACGGGAACTAGTCCGTCTGGACCTGCCGCCTTTCCTCGTTTCAAGTTGCCTGCTGCTTTCTTGACTTCTGCTAATGTTGGAGGGCCTATCTTAATGTCTCATTCAGGGAAGTGAAATAGTAACTGGAGGCCATTTGAATTGTTTTTCAAAGTGTTCCATACATCGTTCACATCTCTTTAGCCTTCGCTGACCATCACTGTTCGTAATCATTGCGTAGACATTTTGTCAGTCTAAATTTGAGTTACGTTCGCTCCTAATTGTACTCGGAGCCTGCAGGAATGTGTTCGCATGCATCTAATTCAAAAGAAGCTGCTGATATCTTTTGGCCCTTTTTAACCACTGTTCGAGTGTTGGGTACTGTCTTCAACGCTGTTTTTACAGCAGACTGGAGATGGTACCAAACGTCTTCTGGATGAGTGATTGTTTTGTGTTCCGATAACTGCCTAGTCAGGTTCTCACTGGAAGTGGCCTTAGTGATCTCATTGTTGAGCTGCACTTGTAATGGTCTCGTTGCTAAAGGTTTTCCGCTTCGTTTGGGATGGAGACACCTACGTGCTCGAAACAACACGTGGTCACTATCCAGACACGTGCTCCAGAACAAGCGGCAGTCTTCCACTGATTCTCTCCACCGATGACTGATAGAAATGTGGTCTATCCGTGCCCATCGCTGAGTTGAGCTCGTTGGATGCCACGTCAGACAATGTCTTGCTTTATGTCTGAAGTTTGTACTAGCTAGAAATAAGTGGTAATCTGAGAAAAGCTGTAGTAGGCGATCACCGTTATATGTTCACTCAGCCGGGATTCCAAAGGTGCTACCTAACTGCCTTTCTGCCTGACATAGCTTACCAACTTGTGCATTGAAATCACCTGCAAAAGCAACCACATTTGAACTTTTGGCTTTCAGAAGCAGGCTTGACAGGTGTCACAGGTTTTTGCAGCTACTCAATAAATTTTATGTCTCGAATAATGGAATAATAGTACAAGCGCCACCTGTTTATTGATCGAAGCCGTCAACATCACCTGCTGGTGTGTAATTGTAATTTACTGTCCATAAGTTGCGGCTAGTACATACACACTACCACAAATACTTGAATACTTATTGAACCATAATAAAGGTAATTTCATACTAATCAGTCGGCTATCGATAAAATGATTTACTAAGAAAAGAGCATGGATCTACGTTTCTTGTAGTAATTGTTTTCAGGGTAAATCACTAGAGAAGACAGTGTCTATACTACTAAATATAGACCATGTAGTTTATCATTTTTACCTACATATTGTTAATATTACGACTGACTGTGGTAGCTTGCTATTATGGCATAGTAAGGACACCACGGGAAATATATTCACTATTGTGCGTACGTTTGATCCTAGTACGTATCACCAACTAAACTCACTGGATAAAGATATATCACCTTGAATAGTTGTGTTTCTTATATGTGGGACCTCTGGCACTTCATGTGGAGCATCCCACGCCTGTTCGTTTCCTTTGTATCGGGTGTCCAGTCCTACCGGGTTATTTATGTAGTTGATCTTTTTTATTCACCCACTCACTTGTTTGACCTAAATTGTCCACATGCATTTTTGCGTGTCATCAATATTCGAACCTTATTTCTCCCACTGTATTTATAGCTCTTTTTTAAGTAACTGTTTATATTCTTGGAACTTCATTCTGCAGAAACAGACTTCAGTCATGTGATGAATTCGCTTATTAGTGGGTTGATTTCTTGTTTTCGATTATGCTTTTTGTAAGTTCCTATCAATATTGTTAGATTTTGTCTGTTCCCACTCATTTATTGTACTAGCATCGATGCTCAAAAAGCTCAATATTATTTTAACAGTCTTCTGCGTTTATTTATCGCCGCTTGTGTTGTAACTGTCACTTTCTGGATTCTTTATTCACAACAACTGAATGTCACCGTTATGTAATATGTTCAGATGAGCTATGTTAGTTGGGATACAGTTCTTGAGGTTGGATGTTGAATAGGATGAGTAGCTGGCTGGCGTCAAAACCGTTAAGGTTAAATCAGGTAGTTTATGAAGTAATTTTTTGGATTAATTTGTCCTGCTGTTTGTTAAAGTCTGGATGGTAAAATATGTAAAACACAAAAGTAAGGTAAATAATCACTTCAAATCCTTCAGTAGTTATCACTGGTTTAAACCTGATCTTCTGATTTCCACTGAGGTTCGGTAAGTTGTAAGGGAGCCTTTTACTATTGTAGATAAATACTCTGGTAGAATTTCTAGCTATATTCGGAGGTACTTGGTTTGTATTCTTAGCTTCTGTAGCTCATCGGTTTAAGCGTCCAACTCTCAGGCAATCGGTCCTGGGTTCAAATCCCGCTTCGCCTACTTCGGCCAGGCCAACTGAATGGTATCATAAGTCCCTCACATAGCAAGTGTGGCTCATAAACACATGTGCTGCGTTGGGATTCATTGACCAAGATTGTAATTTCAAAGCTTTAAGATACGAATATTCTCATCGTTTTAGCTTCAGTGACACTGTAAACACTTAAAGAAAAATAGAATGTGTCTAAATTACATTAACATCTTAAGTGTAAGTGATGTGATTCACCTGCAAGAAATCTTGAGTAGTCATGTTGTTTCAGTACCATCTCACTTACTGATCAATTTTTACCTTTTGATAGTCTCTCAAACACTGATTTGGTTTTTGATGCATCAAGATTCCTGCAGTTGCATTTTATTCATGCTGCTTTTTCTTTGGCCTGACCACTTGACTTTCATCCGTTGAATCACAGGTTCGAAAAGCCATAACAACCTACAAAATTTGAGCATTCGTCTCTCACACAATGTGACTTATTGCCTAAACATGGACTAGTACGCGGCTACTGAGTTGCATTATTTCGTTTGCTAAGTTCGTAGATTTAGTTAGTAATTATTTCTTTTGTTTGTAATGATGGTTACAGAAGCATTTCCTTGGAATCTGTTTTACATGTGGTAGCCTACTAGGTAGATGTGTTCTCCATGTTTTGTCTTTTTTCTTCTTCAGCATTCTGGAGATTTGTACTCTGCCTCAGTATTTTATATGAGCTCATCTTGGTTTTTCTGCTATTTCAGGTACGTCTTGTGGGTGTAAATTCAGTTTTACTAACTTTTACCGAAACCTAAGCCTTATTATTCCTGATGATTATAAAATACACAGACTTTGTCATGTTTGCCTGTCAAGTTAATTAACTAAGCGAACTCACTGGGGATGCAGTTGTGTACTATACGTTACGTAAGTTACTTCGTCGTTGAGTATTCGTTTTCATTGCCCTACCAGTTACGAGTTCTCATAAGAACTTCAGAAAATTTCATCTCGAAACATATCGCTAATGAGCACTGGAGAGTAATTCAGTTTGAAGGTTGTTGGAATTTATTAACTTCAAGGTGGCATTCACCAACGACGCCATCAGATAAAACTTGCGCCTTATCTCTGGTTGACAGAAGTAGGAAAATGTGGATCAATAGTAGCGTGCTCGCTGTAAGACTTGAAGGTCCTTGGCTCGAACTTTGACAGAGTTATGTATTCTCACTGCTTGGGAATCCCAGGTTTTTAGGGGTTCTCCAACTGATTTATGTTTGTTGTGAATACCACCCGGACATATCATGGTAGTTACCGTCACAATTGTCTAGTATGGGGACAAGTAGAAATCATGTCTTAACAACAGTTCACGTTATTATACATATTCTTCCTATCAGGAAAAGGTTGTGATACTGAATGTATTACCAGTAGTATAGAGGCGTATAGGAAATAAGTTTTGTATGTTTAGCGACACCTTTATTTTCATACTGACCATAAGGTTTTTTGATTTATTGTAGTCAGAGGTATCATGGGTTCACCATAAATATCCGAAATTTCTCGATAAACAGAAAATGTGGATTTGTATTTGATTAGACGTCGGCGTATATAGGTTACAGTTTAACGTCAGGTAGGTGTTCGGAAGGTCGAGGAACTTGTTTATCAGTTGCCAACCGTTAGCTCATCAAAACGAAGTATTCAGTAGTTGACAAGCTAACGCATGTGTGTGTACTATTTAGGTGACTTTTGTTTTCATAACCAAGTCTAGGGTTACAGACTTCATGGCTTGCCCGTAACGCTGTACTAATGAGGTAAGTTCCATCAAATTATTGATGACTTGAAACAGTCACTTATATACAAAACATGTGGTTGGAATAATGTAACTTTCAACTATACCAGATACTCATTTGCCAGTGAAAAAAAATAGGAAGGTCTGCAAGTAACTAGTAAATTGTTACCGTTGAATATAAGAATGGTTTTCTATTCCTTACAGCATTTACGCATACTTCCTGGGTGGCTATCATACTGTTCACTCTGGGGATTGGTTAGAGAGAATAATTTCTTTGGATGAGAGGTATTTGTATTGGGTTAGCATCTGTTGGTTCATCTTGACTCCCTTGCTGGAGTCTTTGAGGTCATTTGCCCAAGTGGCTCAAGAAGTTTGAGAATTGATACCAGTAGTGATCATGCCATAGCTTTCTTATTTCATTGGTTATCAAAAAGGAACCCGAAAATAGTTTGAGTGTAGCTTCTTTAACCGTTCGGTTACTATCCTTTTTTATGCTTTCCTTCAATATCATTTTATGTCTTCTATAATTTCGTTATTGTTTTGTGTGTCGTACCACTTTGGACCCATACTAAGCCTGTGCTCTTGGTAAGTAAATCAAGTAACTGTGTGCCTCTGATTCCTAAGAGATTAATTTAGTACCTTAACATGTAGTCAATCAGTGTACTGTGCAGCCATATTTTCTATCCTACTCCACAATTTAGAGAAATGGCTTTTAAAGTGAAGTATATAAGAAGGTACTAAGTGTTTGACTTTGTTGTCTTCTTAGCTTTCCTCATGTACGATCGATTCACAGTATGAGCACTATTAGAATAAGGCATGAGGAACTATTTAATAAAGGTGAGTCTATAGATTAATGTACCCCAACCGAGGTAACAAAAATATATTACACGTTTTAGCTTCCTGTCCTCGACAAATAATGTTAGATGGAAAAGGATTATTTTTGAAGCAATCAAAGAGTAGATGGACAAAGCTATGAAGTTTATGAAGTCTTTGACTATCGTGTATGGAATGTAGGCTGTCAGACTGGTGTCCTCAAGTTGCTAACAACCAATGTTTGGACATTTTAAGTAACAAGGCTTAGAGTTAATCACAGTGACGGCATTGTACTTACTTTCGACCATCTAGATTTTGGGCATTATTAACCCTTATTTGGTTATTCTCTTCCCTCTCATATCCCTTTTGCTTATTTTTAACATCAATGTATTCATGTCCACTTTATGTTTCCAGGCTGTTGTGATATATGGGAACGTGGATTACTTCACTTCTATTCAAGTTTTGAATTAGCCTTCGTATGTACCATAATAACTTCAGATTCTGCAGTCATACACTAGGGTTTTCTTGAAATCGATGCTGGTTTGTATGTTGACACAAGTTTAGTTTTTTCCTTACTTCTATATTTCAATTTCCGAACAATTACTTTACTAAAGAGATTCGTGTAGTGTAATGTTTATCGCACTTATCACGTTAGTTCTAGTAACTTCTAACTATTCAAAGGTCGTTATGTATTTTGTTTGTATTCAGAGCCCATAATCAAAAGATTGAATGATCAATAGCTTTACACTGTCCAGAAAATAGTTTTTCTTGTTTTTGTTACCATCAGTTTACTATTTTCAATTATTCAGTATTGATTTCGAGCTTATTACTATGACCGGATATTTTTCAGCAGTATATTATCTACAGCAAAAACAGACAGTATGACCATGTGTGAATGTTAAGGACATAAGTACAAGTTTCCTCTATGATCCCTGTGTTCCTATGTGCTGATATTGTGTACCATTTGACTGTAACGCCTTATTACTCCTGTTATTTTTGTTATTTTCTTGGTGGTAACAAGCAGTATTTTGGAATTCTGTTTCTTTCCAGAGTGTGGATGATGCGCGTCAGTGGTTACGATATTTGGATCCAGAACTCGGAAAGCCACTGGAAGAAAAGGATTACGGTGGAAATTGTCGAATATACGATTGGGACATGCCGGACAATCCGTGGCACAATGTTATCGTTAGTATTTAACATATTTTTACTGCCGATTATCATTGATGCATGAATTCATTGTTGTTTTGGATAGATATTTGTCTTCATTAATACCCATGTAAACTTTAGTTAGCTTACACAAAAAGGGATAAATAAGCTAGTCTCGCAGATTAGTATTATTTTAGTAGGTCAATGTGCAGTTGAAACAGCGGTTGCTAGTCTCATTTAAATGAGAATCTGCAATACCGGCTAACATTGATTATATCACGTTTACTGGTTGGAGATATGATGTTTATGTGAAACTATCGATATGTCCACATTTATCTTTTGTCATTTTCCCCTTGAAATAATCATATATATATATATATATATATATATATATATATATATATATATATATATATATATATATATATATATGTCATATGGCTAGAACTTAGCCTTTTATATGGATATTCATGGTAATAGATAAATTTCTAAACTCAACATTTCATGCTTGTGAATACTTCCAGCTAACTAAATGGTATCCAGATGGATTAAAAATAAGAATGCACTGTGTTAAATGCAGGTGTAGTTCATTGATACAAGCAATTTAACTTGAACCTATGGATCCTGGTTGCGAACCCCTCTTTACCTGTTTCAGTCTGAGCAGTCAAGTTATGTCACAAACCCTTACACAGGGAGTGGAGCTGATAGTCTCGCGTGTAAAACGCCTACTGGATAACTAAACTGCATTGTTATTATGCATATGTTGCTCAGTCTGTTGTCACTTTATTTCCTATGACGTTATTATGTAGATAGGTGTACAATAAACGACTAATTCAGTAGCAAAGTGTGATAAGTTACCGGTATCGAAAATGTTGGCAGTTACTTGGAAAAGCACTTCAATAGACTGAGATGATAAATGACCGACTGATAAAATCAACGTAGAACCTCGCCCACAGGCGCATCGACTCAGGTTGGCACACTTTACAGTAGACAACAAATCAATTTGGAGGTTTCCGGGGACCAATTTATTGATTTCATAAGTTATCAGAAGAGGCAGCGAAGACGGGACTTCAGGTGAACGTAGAGAAGATAGAGGTGATGAAGATACCCAAACAACAACAACAAGCACCATCAATGGGAAAAACCTAAATAAAGTAGTCTCTTTCACCTACCTAGGTAGCATCATTTCAACTACAGGCTGCACAGTCGTAGACGAGGATGTCAAAGCCAGGATCGGAAAAGCAAGCAAGCAATAATCTGAAATCAGTGTAGAGATCTACTGTACTCAGGACAAAGAACAAGATCCGGATTTTCAACACCATGTCAAGTCAGTGTTTCTTTGTGATGGTTCAGAAACTTGGCGTGTCACGAAAAGCATTTCCAACAAACTACAGACATTCATCAACATCTTCCGCCTACGTTCACTCGATACTGAAGATCAGATCAGATGGCCAGAAAGAATAAGGAACAAGGAACTCTGGCTGGGAACGAACCAACCAAGAACCTATCGCAGAAGAAGAAAATGGAGATGGGTTGGATTGGACATACACTGAGAAAACCCTTTGGGGGACATCACTCGCCAAACCCTCGAGTGAAACTCGTATGGGAAACGACAAATTGGGCGTCCTAGGGTGGCATGGAGGAGATCGTCTAAAGAAGAAATGAAAGCTTGTGGGCAGTCGTGGTGCCGCGTTCAAAAGACTACAGAGAAAAGAGTTCAATGTAGACGTGCTACTGAAGCCCTATGTTCCACTAGGAACTCAAAGGACAAATAATAATAATAATAATAATAATAATAATAATAATAATAATAATAATAGATTTCGGGTTGGTTTTCATCATGGACTGACATAATTTGGAGAAACATTGAAAACCTGGTAGTACATAATAGCTGTTTCGTCCCAGTATGCGACTCCTCAGCAGTGGGCACCCTTAACCTCGCCTCACCAGCGATCAAAGCCAAGACCGTCAGGTTCAATGTCCAGCAAGTTACAGTTGAACCACTGGGTTGGAATCCAATCGTCAATATTTCATACTTCTGTCACCTCACGACATATCATGTGTTCCATTCAATGTCGTCGTTGAGTATCTGTTGTCATGTCAGACTTGGTTGGCCCCACCGGTCACAATTTCTCATTGGGACTTCGGGAACCGCCTCTCAAAGCGAGTCCATAATCTTTTTGTACTTCAAGGTTTCGAAGTCCTGGAAACAAGACAAAATTGTGTTTGTACACGTTTTAATTGTTCAGAATAACGTTTCGTGCTTTGTGTTTGTAGTTGCTTTTTTCGCATGAAAAGATATATCAAACGAATTCGGATGGTTTGCAGAATGTTGCATTTCGGTTTTTTTAATTTAGTCATTTAACTTCCTTTAAAATTTACTTAATATCCTTTTCCGTCTATCCTCTGAATGACAATATTCATTAAAAAACAAGAAGGAACAGTTAATTTTTCACTCCTATTATAGGCTTGTTCACTACATACAACTAGTTTGATTGGCTGCTCTTTTTTTATCGACTGAATTTTCGTGTTCAACCTGTCATCCAACCATACCTCTTAGTGTTTTAATGATGCTTAGCGAGTGGATAGTCGTCAATTACTTGTAGTAAAAGTAATTTTTAGTTCAAATTTCAGACAAACTATCCTACCTAACTCATTTATGTATGTTCACTAAGTGATACAAGTAGAAATAATTGGAAAGTATTGTGAAGAGGAAAAGACCTTTGAGCATAATGGAAGTGATTGAAATCTAAAGCGTCTCTCACTGAAATTGGATTCTTCTGTCAGTTTGGCAAGATGCCCAAAGTTTTCCATCCTATGAAGTGGTGTTTATATTGAATAACCCCTGGTTATAACTGATGAGATAAAAATTGATAAGTTGTCATCCATTCTCAATTTCTTTCGTTGTAAACAAACCTTTGGTTATCCTCAATAAGATGGTAATTCTTCAGTGCTTGTATCCAATGTCAAGAGGGAATTCAGTATGCAGAGAACAAGTGGATAGAAAAAGACTGATATCAAAGTAGACAAAAGTGTATGGAAGGTTAGAGGAATTTAACAATGAAGATTAGTGAAAATCTTCATGCTTTAGAAGATGTCAAAGAGTGAATACAGCAGTAGACGAGTTTAGAAATCCTGATGGAAGGGCTGTTCTTACATTTCAATTTTTTTTTTAGTGGAATGGATGTATAAGAGCTGTTTCAACAATAACTAGAGTTGTTGTTCTATCCAACCAATAGTGTTTACTGAGGCAGTCATGACTCAGCAGATATCCGTATTATATCAACTGTGTTACCTAACAAATGCATGCATATTAGAAGTACTGACAAATAATCTATAATCTGATTTTATGGATGTATAAAGAAATGGAAGTGTTCACTGAAAGACAAAATGAATCCAGAACATTTATTGTCAAACACCTAAGGGATAATACACATGATGTTAGTATTATGAATGCCTTCAGGATACTAAATATTAATTTAAACATAGAAGTATAGCAGAATTAAACCAAATGAGTACGCTTGAAAATAAACCAGGCGCGGGATTACTAGCCTCAAAACTTTCGCATTGGTTATTGGTTTTGCTAATAAACCTGAATTTTACTCTCACTTTGATTCTACTACTGGTTTTGTAACCATAAGGATATTTTGTAACTGTCTATATATTTAACCTCAATAGAAACAACGACTTATTTTACTAACGTGATGAATTTTTTCAAATGCTATTTGACAATTTTTCTAGTATATTACAGCACTCATTCAACTTTAAAGACAATGGATGATGATTCTTTCTTGAACTTGTTGTTTCTTTTGTGCAACTTTTCCAGTTTTTACTGTCTTATCCTTCATTTTCTCCTTCTCGTTATGAAGTTTTTGTGTGTGTTATTTCTTGTAGTTTTTCAGTTTGTATAAAACTGAGGTTTTTTCTATTGTTGTTAAAAATGCCCTGAATTTATTGGATTGTGCAAAACTTGTTGTCCTTACTTGAATCCAGCTATAAGTAAACACCCCATTAGACCTCATAGTTGAGCACTCTGATCAACTTATGTAATATCCGTTAAGAAAACGTTGTTGTTCGAATACAAGATCTTATCAAAGGTATTCGAATTAGCTAGATTAGGTTCCGTAAGAGTATGAGCATCAGATTGCGTGCAGTCGAATGGTCACGACAGCACTACATATAATGAAGTTTGGTGTTTGCTACAGATCTTGCTGAACACCAGTACTGCATTGTTTTATGATTGTTCCCGTTGAATTTCCACTGAATAATAGTTCCTACTAGTTTAAAAAAGTCATTTACACTTGAATGATACAGGTATTGAGCATCAGTTAATCGAATGGCTGTTAAGTTTCTTTTATGCTGTTGTACAGCAAGTTATCTTCTCTACATTCTTGGTCGAAAACCCTCCTCAAGTTAGGTAGTTAAGCCGCACTACAAACCACTCATTCGTGATCGTTTGTGAAGTATCATTGACAGAAAACTCTGTCTATATTAACTTCTGGTTTAGAAATGCTGGGATATACAGTTAAGTACTTATATGCCTCCGGAGATCACCTTTTCCAGAAACACACTCGTTGATGTCACAAAACACGGTTATCCTTGGCTTCAGATGTGTGATTTATTTCGATCACATTGTGAGGGTTGAAGACCTAATCAGTGTGTACTCACTCTAATAACACCTGGTCTACATCTTGTTAGACAGTTTCTTCTTAATTTTCTTCAATTTTCATAGTATGATAGTGTTTATTATTTAACAATAACATATAAATGTCTTATTCACCACTGATTTTTCTTACATATCATTTACTGGAGTACGATAATTAACATCAGTTATCAAGACATCTGAATTGAATCTGAGCTGTTGGGCAATTCCGAGACATCTACCAAGCTTCAGTCTAGTGTTCTTTTTATGGTCAGTTGTCAGTAAGTGGTTTCCTTTTTGTCTTATTGTAACAAACTCTCATTAGATTCCTTAATGAAGGTCAGATGAATGGTACCAAGCAAGATAGGCAAGTTGATTGATGAGGTTGTGAATCTTC